ACATACATACACACAATTCACCCATCCATCCGTCAGTCCCCCCATCTGTCTGTCTGTCTGTCTGTTTCGTGTCTCACCTTATGCATAGCCATCGTTTTCATGAGGAGGTCGATGACGCAAAACACGGCGCCCACCTCCCACTCCTCCTCACTCACACCCAGCTGCTGCACCATCGTCTCCCTGATGCGCCGGCCGTTGGCCATCGGTATCCCGGCAGTCTCTCTGGCGGCACTCGCGCCAGCTCCCAGCCGGTCGAGGACAGATGCCTCGCCCGGCGGGAAGCGCAGGACGCGCAGCGCCAAGAAGCTGCCGTGCGGACGCAGACGGCCGTCGGTGGCGTTGTGAAGGTCGCGCACCACCACCACTTCCTCCTCCCCCCGCTGCACCTGCTGCTGCTGTGGCAGCTCCTCTTCGCCGTCTCCACTGCAGATAAACAGGGAGTAGACCGGGCCCCCCAGCGTCAACAGCCCCTGGGCTCGCCGGTACTCGCCCCTGAAGGCCTCCATGATGGCCGGCTGGATGAAGGGGGGCACGACGCCCTTCTGTTGGGCCAGGGTGGCGGTGTCGGCAGGCGTGTCTGCGGGGGGGCTGCTCGCCTTGAGGTGGTCCTTCGACAACAAGTACAAGAAGGCGGGCTCCACGAGATCCGCTGGCGACTTGATGACCTTCCGCACGACCGGCAGGCTCATAGAACCATTGAGCAGGACGGGGAAGGTCACTTCGTCGCGGTTGCTGGCAACCCCGCTCGGCTTCTTGTACTTGTCGTCGAGGGTCCACTCAGCCGCGCCCATGGGCGGCGGTGCTGTGGGCGGTGCTGGTGTTGGCGGCGCGGGGGGGTGTGGGGCGTCGGCGGCTTCGTTAATCACATTACTCATCAACGACCTGAGGATGAAGGGAAACAGCCAACAGGCAGACAAACAGATGACAGATGCGGTGCGCCATGGGGTAAATGATATGTGTCACTCCCCCTGGCATTGCATACCTGCTATGGTCGTCCTCGGCGCCTCCGGGCGCAGACACGCCCTCGTCCTGCTCCCTCTCCTCAACACAGATGGACGCCCTGCGACCAAACGAGCAATCCACACAGTGAGCGACAGGGCAGACCAAATGAGATGTGCAGGACGATGTGGCACTCTCTGTGTGTGGCCTGACATACCTGCTGTGGTCGTCCTGGTCACAGTCGGGCGCAGACACGCCCTCCTCCTGCACACTATCGTGTGCCTCCTCGGCAGGGCGAGGGGCACTCTCAAAACACGGGGCAGCAAATGCTACATTCTCGGCCTCCGTCTCCTCCTCTCTACTGGCCGGCTCGTCGCCCTCTCCACTCTGCTGCTGGTGCTGGCTACTCAGTTCGGGGAGCTCTGGTGCTGCTGGTGCCGTGGGGGCGGCTGTGTTGGCCTTCTCCTCTCTCTCTCCCTCCTCTGTCTTGCTGGCCTGCCCGTGGTGGTCGTCTTCTGTAGTGGGCGGCATGGCTGGAGCAGCCTCGTGGTGGTGGCTGGTGGGCTGCTGGCTGGATGAATCATGCACATGCACACGAACCCCTCCCTCTCCCGGCTGAAGACCGCCGTTAAGCGGCCCAGCACGAACGATAACGGCAGGCCCCGGTCCGCAGGGGTGGATAGGTGGCCGTGGCCGTGGTGCGGCGGACGTCGTGCGGGGAGCCTGCTGGTGCTGCAGTCCCATCAGTGGTGGGGTGGCCGTGGCCGTGTAGATTGGCCGCAGCGGGGACGGGCGCGAGTGCGCAGCCACAAACCCCAAATGGTG